CAGGGCTATTACTTACTACTAGTGGGAGCCTCGGTTTCCTTGTCAGTAAAATGGGGCGAACAGGCACACTGGCCCTCAAGGGAGCAACGCTAGGGTTAAAGAAGACGGTGTCTGTAAAAGCCAGAGCACTGATCAGCTCAGGGGCAAGCAGGTAGGCAATGGGAGGGGGAGATGGACTTTCTTGATATTCTAGAAATTCCTGAAAACTGGGACAATATACCCAACAATCTGGTGTGGTGGCTGACTAAGCACCATCAGGGCATGATTATGCCCATCTTAACGCCAGAGAGGAGCCTATGTACTGTGCCCTGACGGCCGAGGGCCTGCAGGAGGCAGCCGCAGAAATCGAAACCACAGACCTATTAGGAAAGTTCAAATGGGAAGCTGGCTCTCTGTTTTGTCTCGCCTTCCAACTGTCACCCTGCTGGCAGGAACTGAGGCATCTGCTCCATCAGACCCAGAATCTCTTCTGCTTTCTGTGCGGAGGTCTGCAATCCCCGCTCCTCCCCCTGCTCTCACCTCGTCATGCTGCCCACCAGATACCTCCCACACATCCCTGCCAAGACTAATTCATGTGCCTCAGATACTCCTACTGCAAGTTTTCTTCACATTTCACAAAGCAAACAGTCCTAGCGAGACTGGGTGGGGGTGAGGGGAGAAACATCCAATAACGTCACAGAACAGCCTTAATAAAGGATTTTTGCATTTCAGGGTTCCTTGTAATGTTCACGTCGGGCATCGTCTTGCTTCATCTGGAAGGTAAGTGACTGAAAGGAGGGCCCCTCCAGAGCCACGCTCCCCAGCAGACCGTCAGGTGTATGCATCAGAGGCAGCCCCCAGAGCAGCAAAACCGGACACAGACACAAAGCTCTGAAGATGACCGGCGCGGGCACAGCTCACTGGCCATCCCAGCACCCACTGCCCGCTCTCTTCCCTCACACAGCTTAACAGCTTGACTACAGAAGCTAAAAAGCCCAAGCCTGCTTTCCTAGTCTCCCTTGAAGCTGGGGAGTAGCCACATGACACAAATGGGACCAACAGAACATCAGTGGAACTTTGTTGGGGGTTTGTGGGGAAGTTCTTGCTTTCCAGGTAAAAGAAACAGTTGCTCACACTGCCCCTTCTGCTTCTTTCTGTCTTGAATGGAAATGGGATGTCTGGCGCTGCAGCAGCCATCTTGCGACCATGAGGTGATAGGCAGGAAGGAAGGGCCAAGAGAACAACCGAGATACCAACTCAGAGCCCGATCCTGGTTCAGTCCCAGCAACTTGGGCCTTCTTATGTGGGAAAACTCAACTCCCATTTGTTTAAGCCACCATTAACTCGGGTTTTCAGCTACTTGCAGCTGAAAGCATTACTAACTCATCCTTCTCTCTATGGCAGGACCTCCTCCTTGATTGAACACTATACCAGGTTTTAAGGTAGATGCCTTATCTCATTTGATCTTTGAAGCTTCAAACCCATTTATCCAAGCACCTATTATTTGCACATCTCTACTCAACAGTCTCAGGGCCACTGCATACTCAAGAGGGTCAGGAATATGTCCCTTCCAGGACTCCCTATGGCAGTCAGTAGCGTATTCATCCACTTAGTGTCCAAGTCAGGGTCCTTCTTGATGACACTATCTCCTACACACTCTCATCCAATAGAGTCTCAAGTGCTACAAATTTCACTACCTGAGTATTTTCCTAACCTGCCCATCTCTCCCCACTACTCCCACCTAGTCTAAGTTATGCACGCCCAGACTATTGTAATAGCCTCTTAACTGGTCTCTTTGCATCCACATTTGCTCTTTCCACAGCGAATCTATAAAAACACAAATCTGACCGTGTCTTTTCCTTTCTTGGAGTCCTTCCATGGTTACCCACGTCCCCCATGATAAAGTCCAAATCCTTAAGACCTAAAAGGCCTTGCCTGATCTGGCCCCTAACCCCAGGCTTCTCCAGCCCTACTAAATCTCTCCTCTTGGCTCTCTGTTTCAGTTATACTGTCATTCTTTCAGCTTCTCAAAATCATCATATACATTTCTATTTTGGGGCCACCACACACGATAGTCCCTATATGAAGGAGCTCCTCTCCAACTTTATGGCCTTACTTAACCCTTACATCCCTTTGCAACCCAAACAGTGATTTTCTATTTCAGATATTGTACTTTTCTGTTTTAGATTTCCAGTTCTTTTTTTTTTTTAAATAGTTTCCATTTCTCTTCTGAGATTCACCATCTGTTCACTCATCATGACCATTTTTTCCTTTAAGTCCCAGACCATTTATATAACAGATGTCTCTGGCTTTATCTCCTAATTCTAACATCTGGGTCATCTCAGGACCTATTTCTACTGGGCTGCGCCCTCTCCCTTTTTTTCTCTTGATTACAGGCCACAATTTCCTGATTTTTTGCAAGTCTAGTACTTTTTTATTCTATGTGGGGCATGCAAATAAAAACCAGCCATGAAGAGAGTCTGGATTATGTTGTCTCCCTTTAAAGGTGCTGAGTTTTGTTCTGAAAGTTCCTTTCGAAACCATCAGGTTTACTTTTATTTTTTATTAAGTTGAGTCTGTTCTGATTTTGTCTTTGGTCCTAAGGTGTCATCTATACTTCTAACATATGGCCTTTTGGGGGTCTCAACTGCGTACTTCTGGCTGGGCCATAACTCCAAGATCTCCGAGCACTGTGCAGTCCTCTGGTATCTGATCTCCTCTCAGTCTCTTTGCTATCATTTTCTGATAGGCCTTCTGGAGTCTTGCTTTTGTGCATGGGAAGCCCTCAGCCGAGGACCTGCAGTGAACATAGATTTCTGCTTGCCCCTACCACTCCCACACCACTCCCTCTTCTCTTGATTTTCAGGGCAAACCAAGTGCTGACCTCCAAAGACAGCTTTTTCAATAAATCCGCACAGGAGTTCAGCAAAAACCAGGTGAATCACCATGGTAACTAACAATTTCTGCTAAACAGTTGAAAATTCACAGCTGACAATTTAAAGAATAATGTCCCTCAGTTAGGTTATAACATTTCCAACTGGAGGCGGAGGTCAAAAAAGAAAGAGCTAGGGCGCCTGGGTGGCTCAGTCGGTTAAGCGACTGCCTTCGGCTCGGGTCATGATCCTGGAGTCCCGGGATCGAGTCCCGCATCGGGCTCCCTGCTCGGCGGGGAGTCTGCTCCTCCCTCTGACCCTCCCCCCTCTCGTGCTCTCTGTCTCTCATTCTCTCTCTCACAAATAAATAAAATCTTTAAAAAAATAAAAATAAAAATAAAAAATAATAAAGAAAGAAAGAAAGAAAGAAAGAAAGAAAGAAAGAGCTAATGAGATGGCCTTTCCCACAATGCCTATTGCAGAGTCATCTGGAGCTGACCTGGCTTCCCTCCCAGTAATGCAGTGGACCCCAACTGTCAGCAAAAAGGGGCTCCCGCTGGCTGGGATGTTACAGAAACAATGTCTTCAGCTTTGTTTTTCTCAGTCTCTCAATATTACCATGTGTTTCAAAGGAGCAAGGCATTGTGTTAACAAGTTCTAATGGGTAGTTTTCCAAATCCGTATACTCTTCTCTGCTACACTCTGAAGAAGTTGCCATGGGAAAACTGCCTCACTGAAGACCTGTCTTTGGAGTGAGAAAACTGGAGGTCATGTATCCATACGGCACTGGTATTGTGAGCTGGCGTATTGCGGTTCTAATTCAGCCAAGTTTTGTAGTGATCAGCGGTTATTTACAACTTTGTGCTTTCTTGGCATATAAGAGGTACAGTGTTGAATCAGACCCAAAGTCTATTTCAGCCCCCTACCGTCTCTGACAGAGCACCCCAGGGGCTACTACGGCTGGGTATAACTACCCTTCTTAAGGTGACTACCACAGGGGGAGAACTACCATGGCACGAAGTCACTGGCCTTTCAAGATGTCTTTACCTTTTCAGATCCCGTTTATGTCCAGTCTTAAGCGAAAAACTACGGGGATCAGCGAAGTGTCCCTGATTGGCTCTAGTCATTTCTCTCTGGAGTTTCAGGGAGTGATCCCTCAATTCCATATCCTGAAACTGGGTAAGCTCGGAGGGTATTTTGCAGAAGTGGTTCTGGCATACCCAGAATGCATTCTGCTGCTCAGGCTGTTGGTAATTTAATAAGCGAGCTCCCTCTTTAAACGGCTGGCTTTGCCTTCAATTCCTGAACACAGAAAAGAGCCAGAAGGTACCTTAAAAACCACTTGGTCCCACTCACTCCTTTTACTGATGAGAAAACTGAGCCTCCTGATGCACACCAGTTTACACTATTAATCAGGGACACAACAAGAGTTAAAATCAGAGCTTCGGCTCCTAGTTTAGTTTCTTTCCACTCCGGTCTTCCTTCATGGAGAACGACCATCTTGTCACTCCTTTTTATTTTTTTAAAAGATTTTATTTATTTATTTGAGTCAGAGAGAGAGCGAGAGCATGAACAGGGGGCAGAGGGGCAGAGGGAGAAGCAGATGCCCCACTGAGCAGGGAGCCCGCCCTGGGCTCGGACCCAGGACCCTGAGGTCATGACCTGAGCTGAAGGCAGGCACTTAACCGACTGAGCCACCCAGGTGGCCCTCTTCACTCCTTTTAGATGGTCTTCTCTGGACCCTCTGGAATGTCCTATTATCTTTCTGGAGGTTTTACTAGTACTATACAGATGAAGATACTTTTTTCCTTTCTAGCTTTATTGCTGATATAACTGCAAATAAAGTTGAACATTTTTTGGCTTCTACGGCAGCACAATGATTGAGTGTATTGAAAGGTCAGCAAACAATGGCCCAAAATGATCCCCAGGTACCATTCCTGACTTACCTCTAAAACACCCAAACCCATCTCCCTTGCACTGAGCGACCCTGAGGCTCGTGTGCTTCCAGTCTACACACCCACGGCTCCAACAGCCCTTCCTAGAGTTTATTCCCAAGAGTGAGGCTCTCCAACACCCAGAAGACCTTGGTGCTGCCTCCCAGCACAGACGGCATTATTGGGGGTGGGGGGGCACCAGGCGGATACTCACCTTTGCATAAGCAGTTGTCTTGATAAACCACTGTCGGAGGTACTTCTGCTCCACCTTTGCTCCAGAACGCCATGAACAGCCATGTTCATCCACCTGCTCATTGGCAAGCACCGTTTGATCCACTGGGTCCCAGTTAACCAAGGCCTGTTATGATTCATAGAACAAAATGATGCCATCTGGTGAGCATATGGAATAGGGTCATCTCGAGGTTCCTTACATGAGAGGGTCTGCAAGTGCAGTATCTCTGCTCTGAGACTTGAGGGCATCTCCTTGGGAGGACTACTGGGCAAGGAAACCACCAGCACGTTGTAAAAAAGGACAGAACACACGAGCTACCTCTGTGCTTTCATCTTAGAGCAGGCTTGGGAGGGAGCCCATGAGCATGTGCCTGATCAAGTTTGGTATCTTCTGGTGTGAGAGGATGAACCTGCAGGATTGGGGATTTTAGTAAACAGAGGAAAAGGAAAAAAAATGGTACCTGGAATTCAGCAGAATCAGGTTATTTTAGGGGAAACAAATATATTTATTTGAATATAAGTAACTAACATTTATTGAGTGATTACCACACACCAGATGCTGTGCTAAGGGCCAAACTAAGGTTGGCTCTTCTAAGCCACATTAAGAGGTAAGAATATTATTATTATTATTACTATTACCATTACTTGTAGCAAGAATTACTATCAAACTCCACTCATTGGGCCAGAGACCCCTGTGGTGTTAGCAAAAGACTTGCCCCTCGTGTAGCACACCACCTACGCTTGTGAGTTCATCGGCCAGCCAGTGGAGGCGAGAATATTATACTACCCCAGTGTTACAGAGGAGGAAGTTGAGGAACAGAGACATTAGATAACTTGTCTGAGGTCACACAGTAAGTGAGAGAAAGGGCAGGAACTCAGGTCTCTTGAAATTATAAAAATTTTTGCAACTTTTAAAAACTCCTGTTTTTGTTTTGTTTTTAAAGACTGATTTATTTATTTGAGAGAGAGAGAGTGTGTGGGTGAGTGTGGGGGTGGGGAGGCAGAGGATTCTGCAGAGGCAGGATCCCAAGCAGACTCCCCATTGAGCATGGAGCCCGATGCGGGGCTTGATCTCACCACCCCGAGATCATGACCCGAGCCAAAATCAAGAGTCGATGCTTAACCGACTGTGCCACCCAGGTGTCCCTAAAAACTCTTTTTAAATTACGGTAGAACATACAGAGAGTAATGTGGATCAATCAGAAGTATACAACTTCACAAATTTTTATCATTGCTCATCATCAAGATACAGAACATCCCCAGCACCCCAGAAAATTCTGTTGCACCTTCTCCCAAATCAGTATCTGCCCCTGAGAGGCTAACAATATTCTGAGATATATCCCCATAGACATGTCCGGCTGACTGAACCATAATAGTCTTAACCATCAGGAAGCTTCTCTCCAGAGTTCTAATCCATTTCTGTCGTCATTTAAAAGAAATACCTCTGCTGTCGATGCTCATTCCTTTATGACATTAAGGTAAAACTTAGGACAAAGAAGGTAATGAATACACATGAATACAATGACTCCAAAGAAGGAGATGTGTCCATGCACTAAAATATCCTGATTTGATACACGTTGTTTTTTAAAATTTTTTTAAATAACAGGTGCCTGAGTGGCTTAGTCGGTTGAGTGGCCGAACCTTGATTTCGGCTCAGGTCCTGATCTCGGGGTCATGGGATCCAGCCCAGGTCGGGCTCTGCCCTCAGCAGGGAGTCTGCTTGAAGATTCTTTCTCTCCCTCTCCCTCTGCCTCTCCCCCTGCTCACTCGCAAGCACTCTCTCTCAAATAAATAAATCTTTAAAATAATTTTTTTTAAATAAATAAAATTTTAGTAAGCGATTCTAAGAAGAGATTATGCCGAGCATTGTCCATTTGCCTCTCCAAATCCTCTTTCCACCCTGGTCTGCACCGTAGGAAGCTGATCTCTGCGCCTGCATTCACCTGGACCCTTGCCCTACACCTGTGCTCAACCAGTGAGAGGCACCCTGGCATCTTCCCAGTCAGGCTGTGCCTCGCAGTCCCAAAGGCCACGCAGCCTCTGCCACACAGGCCTCTGCTACTGCTCTCCCAGTTCCAATAACAGCCCCTTCAGCCTGGGCTGGCGAAGGCCTCCCTCTGTGGCCAGTGCCAGGGGCTTGACCATTCCTTGTGGGTTTCCCTAAACTCTGCACAAAATCAGTCCTTTCATCACATTTTCTTCAATAACTGCTTTCGGGTGTGCCCTTTATTTCCTGCAGAGACCATGACTGATCTAGAGATATATCTAAAAATTAGGAGTGGAGGATAGACTAACCCATCTATGGGTTGTGTTTTTACAACTAAAACATAGTGCATCCATGAAGAACTGAAGCCTGAAAAGCACAGAGGCAGAGGGGGAAAGGTATGCACTGAAAGATGTTTTTCCTCTCATTCCACAGTCCCCCAAAACCCCGAATCCATAAATATAGAGAGACAAAATATAAGACAAAAGTAACTTAGATCTAAAAACTTAAGGTCAATAAACTAAGGATCACTGCCTATATTAGGGGTTACAGGGTTACAGGGAGGGGTACCACTTCACATAAAAGATAAGGGGTGCCTGGGTGGCTCAGCTGGTTGAGTGTTGACTCTTGGTTTCGGCTCAAGTCATGATCTCAGGATAGGGCTCCACACTCAGCAGGGAGTCTGCCTGAGAATACTCACTCTCCCTCTGCCCCTCCCCCACTCACATTCCCCCCCCCCCCCTTTCTCTTAAATAAATAAAACTTCAAAAATAAAAGATAAAACGAAAGGGCCAAGTATTATTTAGGAACACGGACAGGTCTTTCAAGAGCCCCCATCGCCCCAAAAAAGATGTTCAACTAAAACTGTATAAAATAGAGAAGAAAGAAAGAAAGAAAGAAAGAAAGAAAGAAAGAAAGAAAGAAAGAAAGAAAGAAAGAAAGAAAGAAAGAAAGAAAGCCTCCGATATGGGAGAAGCAAACAGCACTGCAGATTGCAAAAACAAATAGGACTCTATTTTCTTATTAACATTTCCCACACGGCCTGGCATCTCGCAGACTCTAGGCTACAAAATACAATAAGGGAGATGTGCTCCGAAAAGGTTTATACGTTATAATGAAACCCTGGTACTGAATGAAAGACAAATAAAAGCAAAACCAATTTTGCCCCCCGTGAAAGTCTTGTGGGGAGAGGAAAAGCACCAAAGGAAATAGCATCTCAAATCAAAGACGTATCAGCTGGGAGAACCCACTGACGTTTCTTCCCAGGACCAAGATCCAGCCCATCCCCAGACCTGCAGGGTTCAGGTGCAGCCTCTCCGCAAGTGGTTAATCCAGGGGGTGGGCCAAATGCAGGGCCACCGGGGTCCTGGGTGTGTAGTGTGTGCAACCTCATGAAGTCCCCAGGACCTGTTTCCCAAATCCCTTTTCTCGGGTCTCCATCCTTATAAAAGCCTCTATCATAAGCCTCCCTTGAAACCAGTCTTCTCTTATCCGACATTCCTGGATCTTCTCGTCTTGAACACTGACTTTGATGGACACCCTGATTTCTACTCAAGCGCGGTCTTGCTACGTTTAATATCGTTTCTGGACAATATCACTGACTACGGTCATTTCCTTTCCTTTCCTGGCTGACCTTTGTTTGCCATTACCTACTAAAGCCACCTCTGTGTTCCCTTAGAGTTAATTAGCCTTATTTGTAAAACAGCCTGTACCCATATTTCGAAACCAACCTTAAATCACTAAATGAATAAATCAATCCATGAAATCATGAAAACACCTGCAAACACACTGAACTCTGGGAGATTCCGCCCACTGCTTCCCTCACTTAAGTTATCTGGCAACATCAGAGAATGAGCCGTTCCAAGTAAGAGAATTTCCCCAGCTGATCAGGGGTTAAATACCAGGATTCATATTTTTTGTTTGTTTGAGTGATTTGTGGGAAGCTTTCAGAAAGGCTTTTTGAAATGTGCCCTGTGACACAATCATAAACCTCAATCAGCCATGTGCACAAGGGTGACGGTGGGTGTCCCAACATTTCTGCCCCCTTCTCCCTTCCCTTCTTGGCCTGTAGGTTCTCAGAGGTGTGGGCGACTATGGGCTCTGCTGGGGATTCTCAAGGTGTTTTCATCTTGAATTCTCATTTATCAGTTTTCTCTATGACACAGCAGCTGTGTGGAGTCTACTGCCCTGGTGAGCCTCCTGTTCCAAACCTCCTGCTTTATCTCATCCTCCCCCTTCTCTTGGATCCTCCTTCCCCTTCCTTCTTTGGGCTTCACCCTTTACCTAGGGCGCCAGTCCCTTCTAGATCACACCTTCCATTAGCATGCTTTCGTCTCCTGGCCAACACCTCACTCCTCGGGCCTTTGGCTACTCTCCATCGTTTTCCGTGCCGCTTTCTCCTCGGGCTCTGCTTTTATACTACCAAACACCTTTCCTGAGTATGCTGTAAGGCAGCTGCAGGTTCCAGAAGGATGCTTTAGGGTATTGATCTTCTCACGGTCCATTAGCATTTTTTCCTGACAAAACCACGCCTCATTAAGGAACACCACATAGATCTTATTAAAAAATCGATCTCTCAAAATCCATCTTGCTCATTCTATCCAGAATGGGCCTGAGTTTGGACTGAGTCCGGAGGGGAGGGTTTCCAAGGCGACCGGTTATTTACTGCTACTACCTTCCACCGCCACGAGGGGGCAGAGCGGGAGGCTGCCCGTGTGCGCACAATATATGGTCCTGTATGCTCCCGGAACCTCCCCGAGGAACCTCCCTGAAAGCAAGGTTTTGCTGCAAACCTAGCAGTGCATTAGCTCCGTCCCCAGCTGCCTCTGAAATCATGCAGGAGCCCAAAGGCAAATTCACAGTTTGGGTGGCTTCCACAATTCCCCACAATGCTCAAGCGTAACACAGCACCCTTCCTACTAACTACCTCTACCACATCATTTTTTTTTTTTTTTAACCAGAGAGGTGAAATTAATGTTCTGCCAAGTGGAGGTCTTTATATTCATAGTTTTGGCTGAAAATACTTTTGTTTCGCGAGAGCAAGAAGAGATTCCATTTGCCAAGGAAATGAGCATTTGATAGACGGCGCTAGTTAAGGACAAAAGACTTCAACACTCCAGCTATGTTTGGTAATGCTCTGTTAA